ACAGCCAACACAGGATGGACACACTCAGTTAAATTCCCTTCACACAGAACAGAGCATCCTTCTCTAACATCCTTTTTTCCTTTTCCAAAGCTTCTTTTAAGAATTGTGAGGTAATACACATCCTGCTCCAATGACCGTATATTGTGCAGGAGTTTACCCCACAGCGGACCATTCAGTTTTGGGGAAGCTACTTTAAATTATGAGTGGCTTACAGTTTGACAGACTGCAGCTTCAAAGTACAGTGGTTATGAATCACTGAATCCATTTTTAATAAGTTGATGAATGAACCAACTGGCTAAAATGAATCAGACTTCTCAACAATCCCTCGTTTTTTGACTTTGGCTTGAGGAAGTTGCTTGCTTATATTTTCTGGTGTTTCTTACTGAATCGTTTCACCTTCTGTCTTTCATTGTACTCTGAAGGCCTCTGTGGTCAAAGGCGAGTATCTATGTGATCCCCGCTGTTATTAAAGGTTGTTCTAAAGTCATTGGATATTTGTATAATGCTTTTCCATTTTTATGCCCGCTTTATTCTTCTTCATTCCTTATTTCTCAAAATTTATTCTTCTCCACACATCATTATGTCTGGGTGGTCTTGGGGTGATGTAGCCTTTGATGAGCTCGGTAACCGAATGAATGCTGGTTTAAACTCTTGAGGGATTAAGTATCGCTCTTGTGCCCTTAGTCCAGAGTCTGGCGAAATAAGTATGCTGAAATTTGCTGTAGACCAGAGCTCAATAACAGCACCTGTAGGAGCTTTCTTCACAGACATTTTAGTTATAATATTTTTACGGACGTAAAGGGTGATTCTAAATCTGCTTGTTGGCATTACAAAAGTTTAAGTCCGGGTGAACCGGAAGTTGCTGAGACTTTTATTTCAGTATGTTGGTGTAGTTCCAGCTGAAATGGATTATTGAGTAAGGTGCATGGCTTTCTTTTGGGCATTATTACCTCATAGCAAACTACTGGTAAGAGGATGGTATTAAAGGTGCAGTATGTAAGTTTGACACCCAGTGGTTGAACTAGGTATTGCACGCCTGGTTTAAAACACACGCCAGCGCAGGTTGCCAGATTGATGAAACCAATAGCAGTGTGCCTGACTGTCGTGCCTTAAGGCTGATTAAAATCATGTTCTAAATAAAAGAAGGATTATTCTCCTTATTTAAAGGAGTTTTTGTTCTAACTGACACCTGAAATTTATATTTTAGAAATGGCTTCTATTTCTTGCAGCTGAACAACAGGATATACTGACAACGATCACCTCAGGTACACCTGATGTGTTTTATTTAGTGTTAAATGTTAATGATGTGAGTTTGAATTCCATTTCACATGACATTTATTGCCATACAACTGAAAGCAGCGGCAGATAGTTTACCTCATATGTTGAAAATAAAATAAAGCGTTTGAAATTGATCTTCAGAACTGTGACTCAGTGCAAACTAGCACATATCAGCTATTCAGCATGAACATTTAATAATGTTAAAGAGGTTTAACATGTATTAATTTGATTAAATGCATTACTATTTCATTGGAGTGCACATGTGTTTCTGAATGGCTATGTTTCTAAATTTCTATCCTGTTTCGTCTAGTGCAAAAAGCCTTATTATCACAGTAAATCTCGCCACCTGTTTGTGTGATACGGGGTTAAAATGTAACCTGCTTGCCTAATGTTTATGTTTACTCATTATTACTAATAACCACCTCATGTGGAACTCTGAATCTGCGTCTCATTTTGCAGTCTGGTACTATCCACCGGAGGTTGCATTTCAGTCACGGACGCATATTTTAAGAGCCCTCATGGTTGAATGAATGAGATGCATGGTTTTCCACCAAGGCAACTCGGGGTGCTGAAATAAAATTGGCTAAACTGGCATTATGTGGGTTAAAGGTACCAAAACAAACAGACATTCATGCACGTAATGCACATTTTCAAAGATTTCTTTATTTTAAACAAGAATATTCACTTAGCATGTTTCTTAAATAACTGCAAATATATTCTGGCATTCTATGCTTTAGAAGAGGTAAAGGCTTATATACAGCACCTTTAATATGCAGTGCTATTGAAGCCCTCAAGGACAAGGTTGACGTCAATAGAAGAACCACCTCTCCAAATGCAGAAGCAAATGGTTAGACTTTTATTGAATATTATGAAAAAAATTTGTTTCAGTGTATTAACTTGAATGGATTAATGATGGTATACCTGAAGAATTACAATGTGAGCGAGCAAAGTAAAAATTCTAAGTTTTAATTCCATGCAAACTTTGCATTGCTAAACATTGCTAAAGTCCTACATTGTAATTAATAGATCTTTGCATGGATATTTCGCAATTCCTTACTGTAGTTTGTCATTTGTGGCCTGTCAATAAATGCTGTGTAAAAAGTTGTCATACACATACAGGTAAAAGTAGCAAATGCCACAAGTGTGTAATGAATATTGTTACGTAGTGGATGCACCCCGCTACGCACATAAGTTTAAGGATGACCGCTATAAAAAAGTGGTCACCCGGAGTCCCCGTTCCTGTTCCCCCAAGCACACACACACAGGCCAAGTTGTCAATAAGGGGTATCAGATTTATTAAACAAAAAGATCAAAATCAGAATCGGGGAACAAAAAGGCCAAAACAACAAACAAAACAAGGTACGCTACCTAATATTAAACCTCTTACCTATACCAAAAATAAAATTCCATAAATAAAGCATACAATTCTAACCTCCATAACTAACCACAAAACAGGAGAAAACTGGACACAAGAAAAAGGGCCTTCCCGTTGATCATTCAGCATTAAGGTAAATATTAGCCACAGCTAACACATGATACCGTCCTAGTACCGTATTTAACAGAGTATCTCACCAGATGACTTTGAAACAGGGTTGGAGAAAGGCATTACACAATCAGCCACCGCTAGTGCAGGTTACCGTCCTATTACCGTATTTAACAGAGTATCTCACCGGATTACTTTGAACAAAAGGTTTCAGACAGATCACTGCCGCACAGAGAACTCAGAGCGAGCTGCTCAGACACACATAATAAATACTGCAAGAAATATAAACGAAATAACAGAAAACATAACACAACATATCTCAATTTACATTAATGATAACATGGTAATTTAGTTAAAATTGTAATCTATCTAACAAATTATAATAAATAAAGTTTTTACTGCAAAATTTAATTTATTTAAAATGTAAACATTTTAATTAAAGCACTTTTTTTTTTGTTATATGGGATTGTTAGCATTTTTTTAGCATGTCATGCAGACCACCAAAAGAAAAAAACTCACTAGATACTCAACAGAGCTTTTATGTCACTTTTGTTGGTTCTGTGTGGTCGAGTTTTGTGCTTTTATGGTATCTTTGTGAAAGAGATGCAGTCACTCATCTGGCTAGATAAATTCAGGGCTCTTGACCGGAAGTAGCGATAAGTTTTACTGTAGTGCCACTGCTTTCTGTCTTATCTCTGTTCAGTGCTTTGCTGTTTCTGATCTGACTGGGACATGTGTGCTTGTGTTAGTCTTATGCCCTTATAGACTTCGATAGCAGTCAGTGTAAGGTGGATAGGAACTGCACTCTGGGACTCTGAGAAAAGCCTTTGAATGGTGAATGAGAGTCATTGTTTTTAGACCACAAGCCTCTTTCTAGAGTAATACTATGAGATTAGAAGAGAGTACCCGATATGCTCTTTTTTTCAAATTTACCTCATAAAAGTCTGTTTTCTTTCATCGCCTCCCCTCTTTTATTCCCCTTGAATGGTTAGTTCACCTGAGAATTAAATTCTGTTATTAATTACTAAATGTCTGTAAATAATTAACAAAAGTCTCAGGGGGATTGGAACGAAGTGAGGGTTTTGTTTATCTTTGGAACACAGATTAAGATATTTTAGATGAAATCTAAAAGCTCCCTCATCCCACATAGATGGCCACAGTGAGCAATTCAAAGTCCAGAAAGGGTATCAAAAACATTGTCAAAACGTGTCAAAGGTTTCTTTGAATGTGTCAGGACTGTTGCGGTCCATGTGGTCACTTTAAGGTTTCATCTGAAATATTTTAATGTGTCTTCCGAAGATGAACTAAGGGTCTCAGGGTTATTTTAATTTATTGGTTAAACTCTTTACAATCCTCCTAAAATCAAAATTGTTGACAATAATATCAAAATGTTGTCTCAAGGATATCTATTAGATGGTATGATGCAAAACAGTGACAACATTTGCAATACGAAGATACACACATTTAAAATGTACAGTTTATTGCAGTCAGTGATTTATTATTATTATTTTTTTTACATCATCACATACTCGTCAGATATTCTGACCAATTAAATAATTTTTAGTATTGAGGTGGATGAAAATGATTACTTATTTAAATTGAACCAAACTATCATACTGAGGGTTTGTCTACAAACACTTTCATAAATAACAAACCAATAAACTGTAGCTGACTGTAGTTGATCTGAACTTCTTATATGTACATTATTAGTAGCAACAATGCAGGGAGGAAATGCAGCAGTAAGCATACAGACAACTAGTTACACACAATTACACACAATTACAATTTTATTGTGGTAAATGACACATATAAGTGCATTATATAAGGGATAAACAATTCAGATAGTGTAAATATGATTTGGTTTGGGGTAAATGAGGTCTGGCTTCATGCTTGTGTCATGTGAATTGGTGCAGTGCAGACATATGCAGTCCACTCCATTCCAATGACTGGTCATAAAATGTACTGGACCCATTTAAATTGTAAACAGAATGCAGTATTTTAGAGAACAGAAATGGTCAGATAAACTCTGCAGAGCCTTGTTATAAACAAAATGCCATTGACCCTGCACTGTCTTCATGTTTCATTAAGAATTGTTAGGGGCCTTTAAGCATTTTTGAGTTTCAAATAGTGATACTGTAAGTGGTTGTTTCTTTGATTGTCACAGAAAAGTGGTCCGTTCACAGAAACCGAAAGCCTTTTTTCCACTCAGGTTCTTAGAATATGTATGTGCTTTACCCAGGGTGCTCGGGACACTTTTGAAAACTACTACAGGAAGCAGCGGCGGAAACAGGCCCGGCTTGTGCTTCAGCCTCACTCTAACATGGTACGCCTTCACACAGTCTGAGCACTTTGACACCCTCCACTCATATACACTTCACCATCCCCAACTCACTAACATCACTTAATGTGAATTCTCAAGAGCTGTGAGGTAAGCCATTAGCATGTACTTGTTTTTTTTAAAGCTAATTTGAGATGGATAAACACAAGAAAATTGACGCCAACCTATATTAAATGTAGAGCCTGTAAATGCATTTATAGGTACCACCAGTATTGAGGTGCTTATATATAGTTTTCACTGGCCAGAAAAATAACTGGGAAAGGATATTGAATCATCATTCCAGTTAAAATATAGCTCAGGAAAACACATTAGTTCTCCTAACAGCAGAGCTGAATTTCATTCCAGAATCAGTTTTTTATTTTTTATTTTTGTTGCTTAATGTTTATGTCATTACAAAATACTTATGAGTTTTGGGGGTCAACTTTATTAAAACTTTTTAAAGAAATAGCTACTTTTGTTCTGCAAAGATGCCTAAATTGATAATAAAAAAGAATGTCATGATTAAGATCTGTTGATGCTAGCAACTATGCTAGATTGCAACTAAATTGCAATGCAGCATAATAATAATTATTAGAAATTGAAATAATTGAGAATTTAAAAAAAATGCTTTTTGACCGTCAAAGGGATAGTTCCCCCAAACAGTTTACTCACTCAAGTAGTTCCATAACTTTATGAGATTCCCTTTTTATTGAATACAAAAAAAGATATTTTGAAGAACATAAGAAACCTTTAACCATTGACCTTCATAGCAGGATAAAGAAATACTATAGAAGTCAATGGTGACAGATTTCCAAAATCATTTAAAATGTCTTTTGTGTTGAACAGAGAAAAAACAAAGACAAACATGTTTGTGAATGTGAAGATTCTTACTCGCAGGATCTCTCAAATCTTTTACAAGACCTGGAACCCTGTTTTAGACTATATCAAAGGTGCACCCTGTTCAGTAGGTATCAGCTCTAATACACAGTAAATAACTGGAAAGAGAAAATATTGACTCCTTAACACAAACTTTTCTTTTTTTATATTTTCTTTACCTTTTTTTAAAAAAAATATATACTTTATTGTAAACTTGCTCAATTATTATTATTTTTTTAATTTAATTAATTTATATATATTTTTAAATAATTTAAATTAATCTTTATAAATTTTAGAATTTTCTCAGAGGATCAGCTTGGTTAATTAAAAAAATTTATGTATTTTATTTTGAGGGGATAGTGGGAAAATAAGAAATAAGACAGTCTGTAATTTGTCCTATGTTGTATTGTGCACTACTATGTATGGTCTTGGTAAAAAACAAGAAGCTTGAGATGGCATTATTTTCAGTTTGGTTGAAGTATTTCTTTAATGATAATGCTTTGTGATATCTCAAAATATCTTTCATAAAAAATAAAATTATTTAAACCTATTTAATTTAAAAACATAAAAAAGATCTTGCACTCCCCTCATTTTTGAGCAGCAGAGTATACAGTCTCATTTGCTGAATTGTACAGTTGTTGTTTTTTTCGATTAATATAATGACTTATTGATGTTATAAAGGTAACTTTTAATATTTTCTTTCCAATAAACAATAAAAATGTGCTAAGTTTAAAATCGAGTGTATTGAATAAAGACAAAAGTCAACAAAAGTCAAAAACAACCTGTAACAGCAGACTGCATATCTGACTAATGTTCATAAGCTCTTTCTCTGTCTCTCTCTACTGTGGTCTCCAGCATGAAACATTAGAGGGCTACAGGCGCTACTTCAATCAGATTGTGGGGTAAGTGCAGTACGCATTCTGTTTTGAATGGCCAAATTAACTGAAAATCAAATTTACATGCTACATTTTTAATATAGAAGAGAATTAAAAGAGCCGAATCCCTTTTTTTGGCTCAGCATTCAGACCCTCCCGTTAGCCAAAAGCTCCCCTTCCTCTGGCCCTTCCTGATTCTTCATCCCAGAGCTGCCGAAAAATACTCTGAGCTTCAGGATTTATGGTTCTGGGGATGCGGAGTGGCAGATTGGTGTTATTCCGAGTGTCTGAATGGGAATATTGGGAAGGCTGCTGTCTGGAATGAAGGCTTTTGCTAACATCCTAAATGGCACAAAATAAGCTCAGGGCACTTGCACAGATTTTTGGCAATATTCTTAGGTAAACTCATTGATGGATCTGCGCAGGAAAGCCACATTGTGTGTATTTGGGATATTAGTAGCATAGACATGTTTCCTTATGATGTTACACTCACTGTATCTCTCATATGTTCTCCCATATATTCATTGATTTGTTTCTTTATGTGCATTGTAGTTTTTTTGTAGTTGAAGACCACATCCTACACACCACACAAGGCTTGGTAAACAGGGCTTACGTGGAAGAATTGTGGGAACTGGCTCTTTCCAAGACCATTGCAGCCTTGCGTACACATTCAGTATGTCTGCAACACTACACATGTAACACACTGGGCAAGGAAAGCCTTTAGACTTCAAATTCATGGATAAGCTATTTATTTGGAAATGTTTTGACAATGTATTTGAGATTTGGGCAATTTTAAATATGCAAAAGAAGTAGTTTTAAAAAAATATTTGATCATAGTTGTAACTCTTGTTCCATAGGTCAAATTTGAAAATAGTATTTTAGCCATTTTTAATTCTCGCATAGTGCCACGATAACATACATTTCTGAAAGGAAATACTGATAAAGTTTTAACATTTCAATAAAGTTATATATTTTGGATATCTGTTTGACATAATTATTCTCTTTTGTATCTCTCCAGTCTTATTGCACTGATCCAGACCTGGTTTTAGATCTGAAGAATCTCATAGTGCTGTTTGCAGACACATTGCAGGTAAGACTAGTCTGGTAATAAGGGTGAACTCACTCTAGGCACGGTTCTCTTGAACCATGCCATGATGCAATTGTCCCCCCATCCCCTTTCCCCCTTGGCCCCACTCACATTGCATTTTTTCCGAGCCTGAGCATGCTTACGTCATTTATAGTGGTGTAACATATCACTGTTGATCCGTGATCTGTATAGTTCACAACCCACAGTTCGGAACGCACGTGACCATCGGATTAATAAATCTTTTTAAATTGTAGGTTAATCCAACATTTATAACAATTGCAGAGAGATCGCCTCCCGCGTCATTTAAATCACGTGTATGAAAGCATTTTGGCTTCCCTGTAAAATATAATAATGACGGAAAAAGTTGTGGTGGGACCTAAATGCTTTCTTAGGTTATTAATTTTTTTTTATTTATTTATCTGGATCCCCATTAGCCACTACCAGGGTAGTGGCTATTCTTCCTGGGGTCCATCGAACATAACAAAAAATTACATTAATACACAACAACAAAGACTAATAAAAACATTAAAATACAAAATTCATACATAACATCCAAATCAACAATCCACTTACTATTGTTCCATTAAATATTTTTAAAAAGATTTTTAAACCTCATTTTACTTGTTACAAAGCATGTAATTTCTGATGATAATTCATTCCATATTTTCATTCCTCTATACATAACGGTACGTTGCTTTGCATTAGTTTTTGAAATGGGAAGCAAAAAATTTCCTTTTAATGCATGCCTGGTGTTAAAATGATGACTAACATTACTATACAAAAGTTGACAGTACAATACACTTGGAACTTTTGACACAGAAATATTTCTTATAAAACACAGCAGAGAAACAATTACCCTATCCTTCACAAATTAAAGATAATTAAAGATGTTTTCTGTCACTGTTTGCTTAGCCTGCATTAATGCATTAAGTGTAAAGCTGCACAATTAAACATTGAAAGATCGTGATCTCAATTCAAACTCGTACAACATGAATGATAAATGATAATGATTTGCATATGTTTAATAACTCTTCTAAGTGCTGCATTTAAATCTGCATTTGATCGAGAGATTCAGTTTTTACAATTTTTCAGTTAGTTACAAACAATTAAATAACACAGAAGTACTGGGATGATGAATTGTAACTCAGATATAAACACTGATGTTTAAAGGTTAAAATCAAAGTTTAGGCCCCGTTTACACTAATGCGTTTTCATTTTAAAACGCATAAGTTTTGCTACGGTTACACCATCCATCCACACTACGCCTGAGTTTTCGAGTGCCGAAAACAGAGCGTTTTGGAAACGCTGGAGAGGCTGTTTTCATTCTAAAACGCTGCTGCTCCGTCTCAGTGTGGATGGGGGAAAACGGAGACATCTGAAAACGGTGGCGGAGCTGCCAACATTCGCCTCTTTGATTGGGGCTTTTCCTCAATATTAAGTAGCCTACACACACAGTTCAGTCCTGCATCCTCTTCTTGTAAGTTTAGACTTCGCAAGTTTGATCAAGGCTGCAGTCTCCTCAGTTTGATATGGAAACAGACAACCAAGGACACAGGTAAATCTTTAAAGGGAACAGTGTACTTTATAACTTCATTCACATCACCCTGGCTATGTTGTTTCACTTTCTCAACAATAAAATAAAAACATGATTTAAGGAACTGCCTATTTTCATTTTGATATTAGCAACTTAACAGACAGCAGAAATGTTGAGGCGCATTTATGAGCGTCATCTTCACTGTGTGGGTATTAATAATAAAACGAAGCCTATGACATTGCTGCCTCCTTTCAATTTCAGTAAAAATACGAAACACACCCTCTTTTGCTGAATATCAGTTTTATTAATCAATAATAGCCATTATAAAAGTATAACATACAATAAGTTTATACATTATAGGAAATAAAGGCAAGCGATCAGTCAATATACAGAATGTAGGCTACTTGGTTACATTAATTATTAACTTATCTTTGCACTCAGCCAAAACACGTTACCTGACAACAAGTAATAGATTCCATTGACCAAAGTCGAGGAATATGTTGTTAGATACAGACAACAAGATGAATAAAATATCTCGTTTAATAAATATAATTATATAATTAATATAATTTTCAGAAATGCTAAGTGAAAGGCTAGTGTGGACGCGGATCGTTTTCATTCTAAAACGCCGTTTTAAAACTAAAACGCACTAGTGTAAACGGGGCCTTAGTGGAACTTGACACTGGTAAATGTTGTAGAAATTACATTGTTTAACCCATGGGTGGTGACAAAATACCATCAAAATTATGTCACTGAATAGGTTTTGAAAAATGATACACCTATAAAATAAAACAAAGTATTATGTGTGAATTATTGAATCATTAATTGAAAATAAATTTATGTTATGTTGTACAAGATGTTAGATTTCTTTATTTAGCATCATCAGCAACAGTAGCAAAGATCATTTTTCATATTGAATATTTTCCCTTTTTTTCAGCTGGTTCTTTCTTGATTTTTACTTTCTTGATTTTTATTTGTATTAAAATTACAGGTTCTAAATTCTGTTTGTTAAAACCAATGGTTTGTGCAGTAATATTTTTGTATAAACGTAGAGCAAATGACATTTGTCTCCTCCCTTTTTTGCTAAACTGAAAAATCCATGACTCAAAAGTCGTAGTGTGATCTGAACCATGGGATTTGTGATTCGTTACACTACTAGTCATTTATGACAAGGCTGTTCAGTTTAACAGAAGAGAAGCACTCTTGCTCAGTACAATGGAGCTTGCTTTAGTTATATTGTTTTGTATTATTTTAAGTCGTTTGATATGGAGTCACACGCAGTCAAATCTTTTGCCGAACAGATCCACCACTTTTGGTGCTTATAAATGTTCATAAAAGTCCTCATGCTGCAGGTATTAGGAGGTTTGTTAAAGATGCAGCTGACATGCAGCTAGGGATTTGTATCTTTGATAAACTATGACAGTTTTGTGTTCATTGAAGAGTAAGAATGATTATTAAACCCATATGGAACTGTCCCTTAAAGTGACATCTGGTCTTCAGTTTCGAGCTCAAGCACACTTTGCACTCACATTACAAGCATATCTGCCGAGCATTTCAACCGAACAGCACTTTGGCACACCTCGTCCAGCTGGGCCATTTTGAGATTTGAAGCACTCTCACTTGTCAAACGAACTAGGACATGGTGGTCAAATGAGTACACCCTAGTTTGAGTACACCCAAAGTCTTTAAAAAAATATCACATATACTGCAGCAATATAGTGATTATTATATATGAAAGTCAATACTGCAAGAGACAAATCAAATAAATGCAATAAACAAATTGTCTGTATTTTTATTTATTTATTGTAATGAAAAGTCTACAAATGGTGATAGCCACTGCTATGTACTGTTTAGTTAGTTAACTGTATTTGTCCCCTTAGGGAAATTTAATTTGCAGCTATCACAGACATCTGACATTTCACATAAAAACATGGTACACTTACTCTAAATAAATATCCATTCTACTTGCCATCAACTGGTACTGAGAGAGGAGGAATTTAAAAAACTAATAATTTTGTTTTATTTCTTACACATCTAAGAACAATAGTCTCTTTAGGATGTGTGTTCTCTGTTGATGCTTTTTCCTTATGCAGTTAAGTTTGCCGTCCAACATTACACTGAAATATTTGTAACTTGTTACTAACTGAATTTGCTGCCTATTGATTAATGTTGGATTAGTTTTGCTTTGTGTTCTCTCTCTACAATCAATAACCGTCTCTTTAGTTTTATTAATATTTAGGAGAAGGTTTGAATTTTTACACCAGTCTAAAAAGATGTCAAGAACAGGCCTGTGCTTTTCCTCCTCTTCATTTAAAAGGCTCACCAAAGCGGTATCATCTGCATACTTTACAAAATATCTATTTTTAAATGAACTCATGCAAGAATTTGCATGTAAAAATAAATAATAACAGAGATAAAACACAACCCTGGGAGCTCCGACTGAAGTACACCTTTTATCTGAAATAAAACATGCCATTTTATTCTGTTGGATTCTAGAGCTAAGAAAATTGGTCACCCTGGCATTATTTTATTGTCTAATAAAAAATATTTTGCAAGTGTAGCAACTAATATGCTAGGAGAAATACACTCAAACGCCATAGAGAATTGTAGAAAAATAATTATTTAATGTGATGCTTGAAAAAAAAATTATGTGAACAAATGTGTAAACCCAATTTTGCCTGGTATTCGACTGAGGGCTACATTCATTTAGTTCTTGCTTTCATCTTACTATCTCTCTTTGCAGGGTTATGGCTTTCCAGTAAACCAGTTGTTCGACATGTTGTTGGAGATGAGGGATCAATATGGAGAGATCCTGCTGAAAAAGTGGTCCCAGTCCTTCAGGTGATTTCCTGCTTTTTTTAATCATCTCTATACTACGATTTGTCATGCGAGTCAGAATAATGATGATTTGGTTATCACCTTATGACCCTTGCGAAATCCATACTGAAGGAATTAGGCTAATAGGGTTATGCCCAAACATAAGATGCGTTCAGCGTAAATCAGATTGTGTTTACTGTACGTCATTTGCTCTGCAATTCAATACTAGTTAACCATACATCCATTTTTTTAATGAGATATCCATTTTAATGCCCTATATCAAAGTACCATTTAGGGAAATTGCCTGAATCTGATACCTGCAGTGCTCCAAGATTTATATTCGGACAGCTGAAGGACAGCGAAATGCTGTCCGGCCAAACCATCTGAAATCTCTGATCAAATTACCCCCATATGACTAAATCATATTGCTTGAAGGACAAATATTTTCTTCGTTTCAGTTCTGGGATCCATTTAAAGAGCATTGAATCCCAAAAAATGTCAATTTGTTGGTATGAAAAAAAGATATTAAAGCTCCTTGGAGGGGAATAGTTGCGATTTGTTAGGTTGAATTTTGAGAGCGGATGACAGGGAAAGGTTATGGTAACCTTGCTGGAGTTGTTTTTCAAACCCCGTCAGAGACACTTGACTCACTTCATAAAAGAATGATGCTTTAGAGTCTTCCAACAGCTCAGAATATCATTACTATGTGAACAGGCATTTAAGGAGATCTGTTGTGTCTGTTAGCCGTGACCGAGCCATATAATCTCATGAGGCCAGTGAATATTACTTAGTCTTTCTGTTGCCCTCACGTTTATTATCATTTCATCTGTGATGTTTCTCCTCACACCTTTTTCTGTTTATTAGGCAAATCTTGGATCAGGACAACTACAGTCCGATTCCCGTAGTGTCCCCTGAAGAGTACCAGCGAATAACTGGACAGTTTCCCTTCCAGGATCCAGAGCTCGACAAGGTGAGCATTAGACACATAAGAAAGCTTTTATCCCACAGATTTTCTCACAGATTCTCTCAGTTCCACACCCTCCAGTATCCTCAAAGAGACAAATATCCTCCTGCTGTCCAAGAAGTTGATTACTAACATGCGCATCCTCTGAAAGAGTTGAGCTGTGCCATACATTTGAATTCTCCCATTGACGTCAACAAGAGCTACTGCCCAGCACTGTTAGAGTAATCAACGCATGCTACCTTTCTTGGTGATACCGGTTCTCTTTTTCACACAGTTTTAAGTAAAGAAAAGTTCATTATGTACTGCATCATTTTTATGGCATTAAAACACTTTCAAGGGAGCTGCATGAAGCATACACTTCATGTCTTCCATCTAAAAAAAACTAGTCCTAAGCTGAAACAATTTTTAGGACAACTTTACAGATCAAGTAAACCTTATTAATCACTGAACCACCTTGACCATCACAATGCATTAAAATCTTTTATTTAATACATATATTTATCATGCTTATTCAGTCTCAAAAGTATGTTTTACAAGGGGAATATGTCTGAATATGTTTCACAAAAATGTTTTTTGACTCGTATAACGTCATAGATAATTTGACAAGTGTTTTTGAAACCAAAAGGGGCTCCATTCGGTCAAAAATGACTTTCTTTGTTGTATAGACACAAAGAAAATATAGAAACCTGTTTCCTGTAGCTATGTTTCCATCCAAAGATGCAAATTAACTATGCGCAAAACTAGAATATCGCATAAAAGACGTGCGCATAAGCACATAAAGAGAACCAAATCGTCACGTTCTCAATAGCTGGCGCAAAATATCAAAAGTAAAAACAGAATTTGTTGCAGTAGGAGAAGCTGAGGGAATCTTTTCTTTATTTAATAAATGATTTGTGCCTCAAAAGACAAATGCAGACCCGCTATGAATGTGTGGTGGCGTTGGAAGGCATCAGACGCACAGCACAGATGCTCTTGAACATTCTGGAAGTAATGAATAATATAATAAAACTAATACTGGCATTTTAGAATGACGCAAACAATATTTTAGATGTTTTACCATGTGCCCAGCCTGCTGGTTTGCACATTTACACACAATTTCATCATAACATGGTCTCTTTTTTTAAATGCACACACTGAAATTTGTTTGGTAAAAGTGTTTCCATCGTAGTTTATGTGCATCTTTTCTTATCGAATAAAAAGTTTACCTCACTCGGTTCTGTGCATTTTCAAAATGTATGCACATCATGGCATTTCCATCAACCGCTGTTTATGTGCATATCCAAAATGTGCATAAAAATAGTTGGATGGAAACATTGCTGTTAATGATTTAAAATAGTAAAAACTAATACTATTGAATGGTTGCAGGTTTCAAACATTCTTTAGAGTTTTCAACAGAACAAAAAACTTAAACTGGTTTGAAACAAGTGAAGGGCTAGTAAAAGATGGCAGTATTTTCATTTTCATGTAAACTATACCTTATCCAGGGAAACAAGGTTGAGGTTTTCAATTTTACAAAACACCTGCCTATTGTACTGTAGATTATTTATTTGTTTGTAATATATATATATTTTATTATTTTAAACAGATGCCTTTTCCAAAGAAGCTGCCATTTTCTGAATTTGTGCCTAAAGTATACTCGCAACTCAAAGAATTCATCTACGCCTGTCTGAAATACTCGGAGGACCTGCACCTTAGGTAAGAATGGGCGAATGCACTCTAAACTGTTTCACACCTGCTTATATAATCCTCCCATCCAAATGTTCTCATTAGCAAATCACGCTGCCTGGATGCCAGTTTACATTCCTATTTTCGAACTGCCTTTTTTTAACCTTTCATTCTTCGGTTATGAAATGAATAAACCCGACCCCATTGTCTTTGTCTGTTCCCTTGAGCAAACCGGTGAACTTCAGAGAGGAAGTTCCATCAGCAGCAAACAGTTTCTGTGTGTTTTCCTAATTAATTGCATGCTTGGTGCTAGTGGGTGTTATTTCAAGGAATTTCTCCCAGTGTTGACTGATCTCTGGTCAGTTTATGAGTTCTTAGAATTACTGATGAGGTTGCCAGATGCGCTGGGCTGTTTAGTGTGGCCTACCCTGAATTCCCAGTCTGCAGACTGTTGGACAGAATCGACGGCTTTGCGAAATGACGCTTCGGTATGATCTCCCTTTATGATTTTTCTCAGAAGAAAGGTCCATTTCACGAGTGCAGAAAACAAACAGGCACTTTTGGATTATACAGTAAATGAAGAACTGTTTAGCAACCTGTTATATAATGTTAGTGAGTAAATTAAATTAAGGCAAGTATCATGTTTCTTATTCCTCATACTTTCAATATCCTGCATATTAAGGCCCATTTCAGACAAAATCTGGCCAAAACTAGGATCATTTTAGTAGTTCAAATCAGCTTGCCAAATCAAATTTTCCAGAAAATTTAGCTTAGTTTGGAAAACACCTGCAAACAGCCATTGGTCCATGGTAGTTACGTAATGAGTAGTTGTAGCTCTGAGACTCCACCTTCTTCACACCAGAACAATATAAATAGCTACTATCTAACTAACTGGTTGTTTAAATTTATATGCCTTTTTAGGTAGTTTAGCTATTTTTTATCTTGTATTTTATATATTATTATTATTTTGTTGTATATTTCTGTACAGCACGTTGGTTCACTTCTGTGTTTTTAAAGTGCTCTATAAATAAAGTGAAATATATAGTTATAAGTATAATGCACAGCCGCATAATGCCCAGTTGATCAAAGGTTTTGTCTCACATTTAGACTACCACTTATTAAATACTAATGTATACCTTAATACCGCAGAGACCTCTTCAGTTGATTAATTCAATTGAATTCATTTGCCACATTAAAGCACATGGATCATCCTTAGACGCCAAAGTACTGTACATAAAACAAAGAAAAGAAAATAAGATGAAATGCATAAAAAATGAGAATTAAGAATTTAAAGCACAAGAAAGATGTGGCTTGGCATTGAATTCTGCAGCAATGTTACCCCACCTCATCAAATACTTATAATTGATCCAAGTGGGGGCATATATAGTAAAAAAAATAATAATAATAATCGAAAAAAAAATCCTTATGGTATACCAACAGCAAAATATACAACTAACGATGAATTAGCAACTAAACTTAAGGGAACCTTAAATTTGGCAAACATACCTTTTAACTACCGTACATACTTTTGAAACCAATCAAATGTTCATAAAAAAACAAAAAAAAAAAGAGTCCTTTGATCCACAAAATCAAAAGCCTGTGGTCATTAAAATATCATTAGCAATTTTTAAGAGAGCAGACTCTGTACCGTGGAGGTCTTTGAAGCCAGACTAAAAATGTTGTCAATTAAATGTTGATAAAAAATAATTAGTACCACTACTACTAATAATAATAATATATATATATATATATATATATATATATATATATATATATGAATATGTATATATATATGAATATGTGTGTGTGTATATATATATAATATATATATATATATATATATATATATATGAATATGTATATATATATATGAATATGTATATATATGAATATGTATATATATATATATGTATATATATATATGTGTGTGTGTGTGTATATATATATATATATATATATATATATATATATATAAATAAATAAATATATATATATATATATATATATATATATATATATGTATATGTATATATATGTATATGTGTGTATATATATATATATATATATATATATATATATATATATATATATATATATATATATATATATATATATATATATATATATATGAATATGTAAATTATTAAAATAATATATTAAAATTAAAATATCATTTCACTAAAAATGTACAAAGAGACATCACCTACAGTTGAAGTCAGAATTATTAGCCCCCCTGTTTATTTTTTTTCCAATTTTTGTTTAATGGAGAGATTTTATTTTCAACACATTTCTAAACAATAATTTTAATAACTAATTTCTAATAACTGATTTATTTTATCTATGCCATGATGATGGTAAATAATATATAATAGATATATATATATTTTAAGACACTTCTATACAGCTTAAAGTGACATTTAAAGGCTTAATTAGGTTAATTAGGTTGACTAGGCAGGTTAGGGTAATTAGGCAAGTTATTGTATATTGATGGTTTGTTCTGTAGACTATCAAAAAAAAAATACTGCTTAAAGGGACTAATAATTTTGACCTTAAAATTGTTTTTTAAAATTTTTTAATTACTTCTATTCTAGCTGAAATTAAACAAATAAGACTTTCACCAGAAGAAAAAATATTATCAGACATACTTTAAAAATATCCTTGCTCTGTAAAACATCATTTGGGAAATATTTAAAAAACCTTTTGTAATACTGCTTTGGTACAATAGTTATTGTAAAAAGCGCCATACAAATAAACTTGAATTGAATTGAAAACCTGAATAAGTAAATATAACATTATTATCGATGCTAATATAGTTTTTATTGTAGTTTATGTTCACCTCTGTTTACTACTGAACCTTCTAACTTTTGCATGGATATCTATAGCCATTCATCTCTCAGCCAGCCCTTAACCCCAGTCACGTCGTGTTGTGATGTGATATCTCACCCCTTTCTTTTAATCTCCTGAACGGAACAGCAGGTCAGGGGGGGTCAAGACTAAAGGTCACTGTCTGTTGATCTATCACTGGGATTTCCGTCTGCCTCCTCCTGATTGAGCAGTGTAACAGGACGATTCCTCCCCGTAGTCACTGTTTGATGTTCCCTGTTTCTGGCTATTTTTTTTGAGCACCTCATTGGTTCTGGTTACCTTACAAGCTGATGTCTCATTTGAGGATTCTAATCGTTACATGTATTTTCTGCATTTTTTGAAGGTGTTGCAATTTAGAGGTTTACTTAGGAAATGAGGGAACAGAGAATGTGTAGATACCGAACACATCCTACCAAATTACACCTCTATTATCATCAACATTAGTGATTATGATGCTGTCTAGCCAGCCAGACGTGCCTAACGATGTCTCTTTTACAGTGATTGGATAAATGATGTCCACGATAACCAGTAAAAAATTACTTTGGCTTAATTTTAGGTAATAATTACCTTGACCAGGACTACCTGTGCTGTCAAAGTATTGTTTTTGGATTGATTTTCTACAATCACTGCTAGGAATGACTTTAAATGAGCAATAATAACTTTTTCCTGTCTGACAGAGTCTGTGCGTGCTAAATTCTTCTCGACTGTCCAGATCCTGTAGCAAATAGTCGCTCTGGATGTTGAGGGTGATGTTTGGTTTATATCAGAGGTGTCAAAGTATTTGGCACGCGCAGGAGTCCAATCCTGTCTGCAGGATGATTTATGGGAAAAAATATGCTACAAACATTTACATGTATTAAATAGAGTATGATTGTTGAGATTTATAAATATTTAGTGTCTTCAATGATCATATGATTGTTTTTGTTGAAAAAAATGTTTACTTACTGTCCAAAAGCATTAACTGTGTGATGAAGACTATCAAAATGTTTATATGTTAGAAGGTATTGAAGCCAAAATATTTATTTATGGTTCTTGTTTTTATAAAATATGATATAGTTAGGTAATTTTACACACTTGATGCAGTTTTCTCAAATATCAGAGCATGACTTTGATCATAAATGTTTTCTTCATTTTAATGTAAACATCTATTTCAAATGATACACTTTTGGATTATATTCATTCATTTTCCTTCTGCTTAGTCCCTTATTTATCAGCGGTCACCTAGAACTGGGCGATATTGCAAAAAAAATTATGATCTCGTGTATCATTCGATATCGATAATTAATGAATAAATTTTGACAATACATTCAGGAATATTGGGATTTTTATGTTATTTAACAATTGTATTTTAATTCACCAACATTACTAAGGCAAATAGGCAAAGTTTAAGGCAAATTTAATAGTCAAAAACAAAAATATTTAAACAAAATATCTCATCTCTTCATTATAAGAAAAACAAAATATCTTAAACTTATAAATAAAATGTTGCAAAGCGTGTACAATGGTAAATATTAATCAATCAAAGCAAACTTTAAATAATGGTGTAAATAGGTGACATAAACTAACTTTAAAGGTAACTTTAAATTTTAGGTGTGGGTGTAGGTAACTTTAACTTTTAGGTGTAAATAATGATGATACAGTAAAACACAAACTCTGCCAACAACACAAATTATGATAATCATATCTGAGGTTTCAAGTAAAGGAACCAGCCATCATTATTCAAATGCACATAGCAACATTACAAATTGTAAAGATGAATAAATATATTACACCCTATGCTAAAAACTCTTTTAAATGGGGTGCTAGTGGCTGGGATGCATTGTAAAAGAAACCAAAAAGCCACTCTGGGGACATCCTTACATCCTTATTTACAATCTCTTCACGGCTGCTATACAGCACTCATTTTCGCTTGTGTTCATATTCTGACATGGAGTGACAAGCTCGTGCGCATAAATTTCTTAACCATTTACAAAGAACTTTGTGCTTGCGTTTTCTCGGAGGATGCCAAAAACGGACAAAAACAAATCATTGCTGCTGCTCTGATGCAAGTTTATGGGGAAAAGTATAAACCGCTGCAGTGCTTCTTACCAAACTTTTGAAAATTGATATTGACAATGGTGTTTGGTCAATTAGAACCGATAACGATTCTATAGACCAGCCCTAGGGTCACCACAACGAAATAAACCAGCAACTCTTCCGGCATATGTTTTACGCAGTGGATGCCCTTTCAGCTGCAACCCACTACTGGGAAAAATGCATAAACACTCATTCACACACACTCATATACTATGGCTAATTTAGCTCATCCAATTCACCTACACCACATGTCATGTCTTTGGACTGTGGAGAAAACTGGATCACCCCCAAAAAAGCCACACAAACTCTGGGAGAACATGCAAACTCCACACAGAAATACCAACTGACCCAGTTGGGACTCGAACCAGTGTCCTTTTTGCTGTGAGGCGACAGTGCTAACCACTGAGCCACTGTGCAATCCTTTTGGACTATATTCGAGTGCATAATTAAAGTTCATTATCACACCACTCTCTCTACTTAATTCAGTTTGAACAGTTGTGGTGTTCTGCAGTCAAATATGTTGAACCAACCCGCTACATAGTGGTTAAATTTAAACACTGGCTTTTAAACACTCTGGGATTACCATTTAAAAAGGGGGCCTTTGCGGATTTACATTTGTATTGTGTTTTAAAGGTGTCTATACATGCATAATACTGTATGTGTGTTGGCAGAGGAAGTTGTCTCACTTTTATTGGGACCCCCACCGAGACTTTGGCTACCCACTGCCTCCTCACAATCCACCAGTCATGTCCTATGTGGTTTTTAGAACGTGGCCGATCCCCTTGCTCGGATGTCAGTTAAAACTTAACAATAAACATTTGACCTCTTTTGGCTACGTTTGCAGGAGTCCGTGCCTCGGCGTGTGGGGTCCGAGGGCTCTAGATCAAGCCAGAATCCCCATATGCTCAGCTAATTTAGGAACACTGTCAAATAATGGCTCGACTCACTGGATCTTTTCATATTTGAAAAAATGGATTCCTATTAGCACAAGTGCGACTGAGTAAGAGGGCAATAGGCAGCCAGATGGCGTTCAACCAAAGGTCTCCAATGAGGGCTTCAGGATGCTGGGTATGTATGGAAGGGTGTAGAAGAGAAAAAAAGCCTGTTGCTATTGGAAACGGAAACCTATGATTGACACACCAAAGATGCAAAGGAACAGCTCTGCGTACAACCCAGACTAGTCCACCGGAGGCAATTAGTCTTTGTGGTCTCCCTCCGCTAATATTGAGATGAGATGCAGTCAGAGGGGGAGGAAAGGGACTCAAGTCCATGTGCAGGTGCCTGGAGACCAGACGGCGGTAATATGTGTGTTAGTGACTCCCCCAACGCATGTCCAGCGAACTTTAGACCTCTCTCCCTCACGCATTTATCGTGTTAACCTGAAGCTGTAACCTTACTCTTTGTGATGGTTGAGTTGCTAATTGTGTTCACCAGTGGGAGCTGTATCTGTCGTGCTTGCTTCATCTGTTTAGTTTCTTGTTTTCCAATGAAGTTAATTGGGCATTTTCAGTCTCCGTTGGTTCCCCTCATCGGTTTCTCTCAGATCGTTGTTTATCAGACCACCAGTTTTCGCTGAAGAGTAGAATGGATGAATAAATCAAATGCAAATGCCAGTAAAACGTCTGTGTTTAATCAGACTACAATTTCTTTTTCTGTTTCATTGCTCCCTCCCTCCTAACATGAGGAATAGCCTGAGGCCTTTGGATCATTCAGACATTGTCAGTTCCCAGATTATCACAAACGGCCGATGTCTTCCTTTCAATTTAAAGCCAGGCCATACTTTTTCACCTCAGTTGAGGACCAAGCAAGCCTAAGAGCAATTCTTTGTGTATTGTCAGAGCTATAACATTGTGTTCAACATCGATAAACCAATGACTGTGATTCAACATGCATGGACATTAGAACAAAACCTAGTTTGAAATGGAAGTGTAGAAGAAAACCTTCTCTTTATTGGTCCTTAAGCAGCTTCATCAACTTGTGATTGAATAGCACCCCTTTTCTCTCCACCATCTCCTTACTCCGTTCGCCTCTTGCCAAGTCAGCGGAGGGAATTCTGAGTTTTTCCCCCTGCTGAGGAGAGAAACGTTTTTCAAATTCCTCCTCTGCTTTTCTCAACACAATGAGAGACGATTTAGAAGTAATTTGCGAGGAATGCATTTGTTGCCCAGATCGAGGGGGAAAGCTGTTGCACCCTGGGTCTTGGCTCACATTGACTGACACGTTTGAGGCACATTGTCCCTTTCTTTCCTTTGACTCTCTTTTTAATTATATGTGAATTGTTCTATCGAGGAAGAGGAGGAAGATGCAGCTGCATTGGTGTTAATGAGCACAGGACAGAATTAGCCCCCTTTATCCATTCCCTCCCCCACCGCCCCTCAATAAAACAGAGGAGTAGAGTAAAGAAAAGTGATATCCCTTCTCTTCCCCGTCATGTTGATTTAAGTCGTATATCTGTGTGTGGTTGCGCTCCGGTTTTTGGAACATGCGTTGCTGAAACCCAGAGGGTTTTATTGGGCTCTTTGGTTTTAAATCCTGCCCATAGTCCGTGTCTGTAAGTGTTTGTGAGTGAAGACCTTTTTTTAGTCAATGTCTGGATCTTTTTGGGTACACTTTGTGTTTTTTATTTCTCAGTAATGTTTGTAATGGGATGCAACACTTATACATTGGTTGTTCTGAATCAGAGAACTGCTGATATAAATCTGGACCACAAAAAATGTTAGAAACCTTGTTATTCTGATCTCCATTTGACAGAAAATCATTTGCTTCAATGAGTGCTGTAATGTTTAGCAAGGCCAGTAGTGTAAAATGTACAAAAAACATTTTATGTTCACCAGAGCTTAATTGGTTTTTAAAAAATGTACAGTAAAAAATAAATTTGTGAAGTAATATTATAGTTTAAAATAGAGATGTTTTAAATTTGTAGGCATTTTTAGGAGTCTATTTGATGCTCAAACTTTATAATTATTGTCAGCAAATTTTTTTTTACAAAATATTTTTAGAAACCGCTATAGTTTTTTTTATTCTAACAACGAAATAGCATCATTAATTTGAAAATATATATTTTTTAATTTAAAAATTATATAGGGGAATTACCGACCTACGTCACACGGGTTCAGCCGCACATATCGGTTGCAAATAAATATCGGTTACAATAGCAAACATGTTGAGTTGTGCGGTAGGATGCCAAACTCGAAAACTCCAAAAATAGAAAACTTAAATTTTACCGTACACCACACTGCTTTTAATACCAACCGCAGACGTATTTGGCTAACAGCCATCATAAGAGCTGAATGAGTAAGGACCTAATTATAAATGCTTGATTCTGCAGTTCTCATTTTATATCAGGTCCTAAGTTCACGCTATGCTGCATCATACACATTACTCGTTTTTGTTTGCAGCAATGATTTCAGCAAAAACAGTTAAATATGTTGAAAACTGCGGACACTGAATGCTTAGAATGAAAAGTAAAATTGTAAGTTGACATACCCTGCCGTACAGGTGCGGTTCGCTGTCAGAATGCAGTTGTTTGCTTGTTGATGATGACCCAGGCCTTGTACAATTATGTCTTCGTTTCTTGTCTTTGACTAGGCAGAACCTCAGTTTTTAGCACTACATAGTTTTAATTATGGTAATCATGGAACATTATTTCTTGCACATGACCACACAGAATAAAATTGTAGACATCCAAAGACTTGTAGGCCTTTAACTTCTCTCTTGTAAAATCACTTGGAGTTTCAGTGAGATAGCTGTAGATTTTGGACTGGATGCTTGGCCATTTCTTCTTATACAATATCCATTTGGAGGGTGCTATCAGAAATGGACCTGTAAGACGATTGCCGCTCACTTTAACGTTCATTTTGCCTAATAACTGTGCTTATTACTGGAAAAGCATTATATATATATATATATATATATATATATATATATATATATATATATATATATATATATATATATATATATATATAATCAATATAACTTATCTCTAATAAAACAACAAACTCTGTATCGTTTCAGATGTCATTCCCTCGCTGTAAATGCTAGCGCTAACAGGGTTTTTTTTGCAACCTCGCTGCGTATGCATCCTGATTGTTTACAAACTGGTAATTCATCTATACTGTAAGGATTAGCATCTAGCTTAAGTTTTTTCCTTTTAAAAAACTGACAACAAAAAAATAAAACAGTAGTGTATGCAATTTAAGATAAGCATGTTCAACATTAAAAATCTCCCCAGCTTTTTTAGTCCACTGATACAGTCTCTGTGAACTCAGAATGCTGAACATCTTTATAGAAAATGTACCCAAGTCATGAATATATGTATTTCAATCCTAATTAGATCATTTTTCATTTTCAGCTCTACAGAAATTGATGACATGATTCGTAAATCTACAAATCTCCTGCTTACGCGAACTCTTAGCCACTGCCTACAGTATGCCATTAAGAAGAAAAACGTAGGACTGGCAGAGGTGAGTTTCTTTTTACTTCTTATTTTATGTGTATTTACTAAACATCCTTGTTGTCCCATGTCTTTTAATGCCACATCACCAATCCAGCATCAACAGAGAGGAAAATTTGTATGGGCTGTTTGTTTTCTGTGTGCTAAGTTACACTTGAAATGTGTGAATTGAGTTTCATCAATCTCCACATCGTGTAGACTTGTTGCACTTTATTTTCATGGTTGACTTTAGCCACTTTAAACTAACTGATTTAAAATTAACCAATCCCAAAAGGAATGACCACTTACCATTTTTTAATCAGACCCTTACCTGTTCAATTTGTTTGTGCATTATTTTTCATATATATATTTCATGAGTTGGTAAATAAAGTGTAACCCATAGACCCCTTGGGAACTCCAGCAATCCATTCATTTGGATATTCATACTTCATTTATTTATTCATTTTAAAAAGTTATTTTAGATCACTGTATTTACGTATAAGCATATTTACAATAAGCATTTTAACCCCTCAAATGCAGGGCCGGTTGCACCAGCAGTGCATATGTTAAAACGTAGCCTAGTTGTGACTTAAAGGGACACTAAGTTACAACTTACACACTACTAAGAATTTCTGTGGTGCACCATCTAACTTAATTTAAATGTAATGCTACATTCTGACCAAATATTTACAGCAGTCTCCCCCCATGTGTGAAAAGAGATGACAGTGAGATTAGTTTACATTGAGCAGCTTATAATCATAATGAAGACTGATCTCCCTCTACTCAGAGCCTTATTTTGCTCCCAAATCGTGCATTTTTATTTTGGTTTATGAAAGAAGTTTAATTTTCTTTCAAGGAGTGTTTTGTGTTTATTGTATCCATCAATTAAAATGAGAATTTCATCTCGACTGAGTTTTTCTTCCTGCTTTTTTCTCTTTCACGAGTAGGATATAAAACATTCATTCATTCATTCATTATCTTGTCGGCTTAGTCCCTTTATTAATCTGGGGTCGCCACAGCAGAATGAACCGCCAACTTATCCAGCACGTTTTTATGCAGCAGATGCCCTTCCAGCCGCAACCTATCTCTGGGAAACATCCACACACTCATTCATACGCGCACTCATACCCTATGGACAATTTAGCCTACCCAATTCACCTGTACCACATGTCTTTGGACTGTAGGGGAAACCGGAGCAGCCGGAGGAAACCTACGCAAACGCAGGGAGAACATGCTAACTCCATACAGAAACGCCAACTGAGCCGAGGTTCGAACCAGCGATCTTCTTGCTGTGAGGCGACAGCACTGCCTACTGCGCCACTGCGTCACCAAGTTGAATGTTTTGATAACTTTGCGTGCGTTAATTGCTCGCGATGTAGGTGTGCGTCGTATGTTATTAGTGACTGACTGTAATTTAATGTGCTATAAAAACATAATTTGTCATTTCATTTTCAAAGTACAGTTCTATATAGATGCATTAGTTGCAGAATTTTGAAAGCAGTTTGACAATTTAAATGCTTTTTATTGGATATTATGTCATTCAATGCGACTTTGCTTGACGTTACCGAGAGCTTACGACCTAATAACTAAGGTTTGCCCTAAGAACATGTGATGCAACCAAACTGAGAACAAATATAGTTACAAACTAGCTAGTAGTTACTAAGCCTCTAGTGTGGACTTTACATTCCAGTTTAAGAAAGAACTTACGATCAGTTGGTGAAACCATACCCACATGTGTTCAGTTCAGATGGGTCCCATTGGTGAGTAAATGATGAAGGAATAGCAGGGAAGGTAAAAAAAAAAAAAAAAAAAAAACATTCCAGCTAATATTAAAAAAAAAAAAAAACTAAAGTGTTAGTTCCAGGTAGTTTTCAGAAACAAAGTCTAACCTTACTACCTTTATGCATACATATATGTACACACGCACACACACCAGATCAGATAACAGGCTCCTTCCTCCCCCCTCTTTCTTGCCCCGGATCTGGCAGAGGTGCGGAAGTATGACCCGGAATCCGCATCGGGCTTCACTCCCTGCACAGTGCACCATTACTGCAGAGAGGGAGGAAAGAAAAAGTGGGTCCAAGCTAAATGTCTGGGCACAATTAGCACCAGTGCGCCTCAGTGCCTTGCTGCTGACAGGCATGCCCTGCCTGTGGACCTCAGACTCTGCACCACAGACCAGCTAACTGAACTGAAAGCAGCTCCAGATCTGCTTCCCACAGACAGACCCTCTCAGTCCCTTTAAACATACCACTAACTTCCTTTCCATACCCTTTCCCCTTCAGAGTTACTCCCAATTGAGTTTAGCTGGCTGTTATTACTCTTGCCTCTAAAATCTTTTTATCAAAGCTCTGTTTTTCTCTTTGATGGTTGTACTACCTAACCTATCCATTTAAATAAAGTTAAATTAAAAAGGTACTGCATTATTGCCAAAAGATGAACTTTGCTAAATGTGTGCCTGTAAAATATGCTGATCCACCAAGATTGTTTTGTTTTGAAAGAGCTCTTTGTGTTCACCCAGGTTATTTTATTTGAACAAAAATGCAATGCAAACATTTAGAATTTAAAATGATTTTATTTTAATTAAAAAATATTTAATTATTATTTTAATAAATTATACTATATATATATATATATATATATACTCAATCCTCAAATTATCCTGAGAAATATTTTCTTTCTACAATTATGCTTGTACATTCTCTATTATATTTTAGGAGAAGCCCGTTTCAATTCTGGTCCAAAAAAAATAAATCTTTTTAACTTTGGTTGAATTTAAGTAACTTTAAGTCTGAATTTATACCATACCAGGGGTATGAATAATTTTGGGCTTAACTGTATTCCTGTGATGACAGCTAATTTTGTTTCAGCAGTCGTCATATCAACATCTAACATGTTGATGTGGTGAAATCATTTTAATATGCAGATAGAAATCCTGTTTTAGGTAGCATTATTTAATGTAATTACTGTCATTTTTGATAAATTCAGGGATGTGAACCTACATTGGTCTCACGGTTCGGCTCGGTTAAAATTATCATGCCATCGATTCAGTTACATTCGATACGTCAGTGCGTCAATATGCATTGACGATGCTTACCTAATTCTTGTATTAAAATTTATATTAATTAATGTATTAAATAATACATTTATATATTGTTTGTATTACAATTTTATATTTTAATACAAGCAGTCAGATATATATACTGCACCTTTAAATTTATTTGCTAAAAAAAAAAAAAAAAAAGTACATGCACAGAACAACATGGGCATTTATAGCAAATAAATAAATGTAAATATTATCCCGCTTGCTTTTTGAGCGTTGTTGAGCAAGTTCTTATACGCCTATGATTGACCACGGGCTCAGCAAAAAAGGCTATGATGGGCTCTAATTGGCTCTGGAGCTGTTCAGCAAACAGTGTTTGATGTTAAACTGATGTTAAACGGCCGCAGTGATCAGCTGAACCATTATAGATGGTGACGCGGTGGAGAAAACTCGCTTTGCAGCCATGCTTGTGTCCACAAGTCCACAAGTAACGTTATTGTTGTAACCGCCGAGAGAGGAGATAAAACTTTACCTCACAAACATGCCAGCAGGTCAAAAGGACCTGAGGGAGGGAGAGATTACAGCTTTCATTTTTTTCCTAGCTGGGTTCTGATGTACTTCCCTGTCAGTGAAAGACTGTCCAGCAAACCCACAAGCACTGAATTGTGCATATGTCTGCTTTTTAAGTAGTTGGAGCTGTCTCCTTCCTTACCATAGTAAGTCACCGCCATATAAGGCATATGTGACAAATGATGTCAGTACATAATAACTGGTTATGATTTTTACTTAATAGATACTATGTTGTTCACGTCTGCATCGCAGTGCATTGAAGAAATAATTAATTTTGACACCCCTAAAATTCAGTGCTTGTTGTTGTATAAAAATATATACATACCCAAACATATGAGAAGTAATCTATTTCAGTCTCTGTTATAAAACTTGCACAAAACTTAAATTATAACAAGTTATAATTTGAAAATGTATTTGATACCCCAAGTTGGTGCAGATCATCATCAACACCACTCACCTGGAGCAGTCCTGTCATTATCTAGAAGAGTTCATCTCCAACATAACTAATGTGCCTCCTGACACCATCAATGCCACAAAGCTCTATGGAACCTCCACCTTCAAGGTACTTCTTTTCTCCCAAAGAATATATGAATTATGATTTAATATTATAGCAATACCAGTTGTATCTAGTCAGGATCTCTGGTTAGTCATTGTTTGCTTCTCTCTGTTTAGGATGCAAGGCACGCCGCTGAAGAAGAGATTTATACTAACCTGAATCAGAAGATTGACCAGTTTCTGCAGCTGGCCGATTATGATTGGACAGCAGCACAGGGTGGTGGGCAGGCCAGTGACTACCTGAGTGACCTCATCGCTTTTCTCTGTAGCACCTTTGCAGTGTTTACTCACCTGCCTGTAAGTATTTCATCCACAGATGCATTCAAATTATTGTTAAGTTTTAAATTGAATCAATTAAATTTTTTTGATAGTTTTTTACTCCTGATTACATAGTTACTTAGGATAAATAAAATATTTAGGACAGTAAAAGGACAGATTATGGTTCTAGCTGTTGTTTGTGGGACCGGTCAAAAAATGTTCTTGGTGGTAAATATACACATTTTTTATTTATTTATTTTTTATTTGTGGCGTTTACTCTCTCTCTCTCTCGCTCTCTCTCTCTCTCTCTCTCTCTCTCTCTCTCTCTCTCTCTCTCTCTCTCTCTCTCTCTCTATCTATCTACCTATCTACCTATATATATATATATATATATATATATATATATATATTTATATATATATATTAATCATTTTATTTCCGTGATGACAGCTAATTTTGTTTTAAGCAGTCATCATAGTGTCAAAGATGAATCAAATATGTTGATGTGGAGAATTACTTTTAATGTGCAGATAGAAATCAAAATTTTTAGATATCACTGTCGTTTTTGGTCATTACAGTGCTTTTTGTTGAATTAAAGTGTCAGTTTTTTAAACAAATACATAGCCCAAACTTATGAAAGGTAATCTATTTCAGTCTCTGCTACGACACCAATCTTTTCCATTTCATGCAAGTCAAAAATTGCAATGAGTTTAGTTTAAGTATTAACTAGTTATTTATTACCTGCCTAATAATAAGATATTGACTGTTTATTAGTACTTATAAAGTTAAAGTATAATCTTATTCTATTTACCTAATCATACCCAATACATAAACTCAACTACTGTACCTTATTAATTTTAATAAGCAGCAAATTAGAAGTTTATTGAGCTATAAGTCTTAATACTTTGTTAATAGTGAGATTTGAACCTTGAAATAACATTAATAGTAGACTAAAATAATTTATTTTATTTAGTAATGATGCAAAATATTAGTTATAAGTAACAGTGACAGGCTTTTACATTGTAAAAAAGAAAAGTCTATTTGCCCAAGAAACGTAAAAACATCTTATACATTGCACTACCTGACAAAAGTCTTGTTTTCGATCCCAGTTGTTCGAGCAACAAATAATAACTTGACTTGTAGTTGATCATTTGGAAAAGTGCCAGAAGGTAGATTTTTCTGATGAATCATCTGATGAACTGCATCCCAATCATTAAAAATACTGCAGAAGACCAATTGGAACCCACATGAACCGAAGATTCTCACCGAAATCAGTCAAGTTAGGTGAAGAAAATGGTTTCTTCATTTTTGATTTCCAAAAATGGTTTGGGGTTACTTCAGCCTCCACATCAAAGTTCCTGAAAGCTAAGAAGGTCAAGGTGCTTCAGGATTGACCAGCCCAGTCACCAGTTTTGAACATTGTTGAACATGTCTAGGGTAAGATGCACAATACACAATTTTTTTTTCCACTGCACCATGACTTTATATTCTATACTGTACATTATTTCTGTTAAGTGACAAGACTTTTTGTCTAAGCAAAGTCATACCTTACTGTCCTAATTAAATACTTAAAAATCAAGGCATGATCATATTTTATTTTGGTAAAATAAGCGTAATCTAGAGGTTTTTGTCTTTCATATAAGACACTTTTGATACAAAATAATCAACTAGAAATCAAGTTATTATTTGTTGTTCCTAAAACTTGAATAGGTGACAAGAATTTTGTCAGGTAGTGTACAGTATGTCAGATTACTAAAAGTTTTTTTTCCAGCTAGATTATGTAACCCTAAAAACTGAAATAATAAAGAAAATTCAGTTTTGTTATCAAAGGATTAAATACCATTTTTAAATATGTTAACCTAATCTAGTTAGATTTTTAGAGTCTTCTTTCAGAAATCCCACTGATCTCACTGATCCCAAACTTTAAACAGTATCTTAAGACTACAATATAGAAGTTTTTTTTTTTTTTTTGTGGGCAGCCTACAGACACTCACTGCGTTTCTGTTTTGCCTATTTGTAAGTTTTATACATAAATAATAGTCTTACGTTCTGTTATCCTGAGCCCTGTAATCTATTTCTTGTACCAAGCGTACTTTGATTGAGCCTGTAGTCTCCCCTCAGTGACTCCATCGCTTTAAGGCAGATTGCACTCACTGTACACTTGAACTTTGAGGGAAGGCCAAGTATTGTCGTTGCTGGTAAGAGGATTGCAGTGTTCTGGGTTCATGAGCCCCAGTGTAGCTCAGCTGACATAGAGTTAAAGAGATCGTGTGGCGCGACCTGAGGTTTCAGCTTCAGTTAAGGAAGTCTAGCGCTGGCACAGCCCGGTCTTGACCCCTGTCATGAGGGATTTCTGATAATCAAAGCTTTTAAGAGTTTTCCCCTCCTACGGGCCTCAAGCAAACACCTTCCTGTGTCTGCATGACTGGCTAGGATTGTCTCTGATCCAGGGCTGGTGGCAGTAATGCTGCTTCCTGCGCTCCTGTAATCTCCTAAATTCCTGACTGGTCTTTTTCTAAGCTTTCAGTAACAGAGAAGTATGACTGTCTTCAGCCCGCTGCAAAACAACCCTCACATTGTTGGCTAGATTTCACCAACAGGGGGCAATGTTTGTTCGACCCCAGGTCGGGTTACGGTCAGGCTGAATGTCTCACTTTCTCCATCAGCGCACACACACTCACACACACATCAACAAACCACACACGTACAGTCAAATGGTTTTCTACTCTTCCAGATATGCCTCTTATATTATTGTGTTTGCACATTCCAGCTCTGCATGTGAACGTATTGCATTCTGCTTTACGCAGCCCAGTACTCACAGCCTCGCCATGTCCTCCTCATGGTTTTCAGGAAAGGTCAAGAACTGACCATTTGTGCGTGTGCCATCAACTTCACAGCCAAAAAACTCTGATAACGTGTCCAAAGCCACAGTCCCATCAGTCACGCTTGCTCCCTCAGCCTCTCCCACCTGACCACAAACCATCTTTGACACTCAGAGGGACTTTCAGCGTTGATCGTAAACACTTCGGCCAAGTTGATATGGGAGAGTGCGGTTCACCGACTTCACATTTGAACCCGTTGGTAGTCATAAACTCGACCTTTGACCTACATCTTGTCTCTTGTCTATCTTCTATAGGGCAATGCTATAGAGCACGCCACACTACCGGTGAGTATGGTTGCAGTGTGGCCTAACTTCAGGCATAACATTAGCCATTTCTCGTGAAAGTAATTCAGCATGCTGCCTGGTGTTCATCTGACCCACTCATAGATGTTGTGTGTATTTTTATTGCCTGTTATGGGACACAAATGAGGCGTCTGAACTGTACATAGTTGCTGCTTTGTCTCAGAGGTTCATGAAATATAGATTTTCACCTTAGAATTCAGCTGAATAGTTTAGTTTCATTACTAAAAGTAAACATATAGTTTAGTTAATTAGTAATAGTCAATTTTTGTGCGTCCTACCAGTGTTTCTCAACCACGTTCCTAGAGGACCAACGGCTCTGCATCTTTTCCATGTCACCTTAATCAAACACACCTGATTCAGATCATCAGCTCATTAGCAGAGACTGAAAGACCTGTAATAGGTGTGACAGACAAAGGAGACATCCAAAACATGCAGGGCCCTATCATACACCTTGCGCAATAAGGCGCAAGACGTCTTTGGTGCGATTTGGTACTATTTTCAGACCAACGCAACCCTAATTTTCCCGTTTTGTGCCACGTTGTTTAAATAGCAAATTCATTTGCACCACTTTGTGGACTCATGAGTGTTCCGGTCTAGATAGGAGGTGTGTTAAGGCGCATTGTTGGCATGTTGTTATTTTGAGGAACTAAAATAGACTGTGCAATAGACCAGCTGAAAGCAGTTCTAAAGTCAAGTGCAGATTGCTTGTGCCCCTTACAAATACATTGCCTAAAACTCGCAGGATGTACAGCAATACGCAAAAACTGTATCTTTACAAATAAAAAAGAATTAAAGGATTGCAAAAATGATTATTTTCTACATAAATATAAAAGCCACTGCCTCCATGCCTTCGTCAGTAGTATTATTTATTATATGCATATTTATGTTTGTTTGAATAAAACATGTTTAGATTTGTCCAACTGTCGGGTTATGGAGATGTATGTCACTATATAAGGCATAAGATCAGGATGTGTGTTTGGATAAAACTTTTTGACCACACTTCGTTATTATTGTTTATTTATTCGTTTGCTGGAAATTAGAACTGAATCTAGAAATGGTTTTGACACAAATCTTTGCGTATAACAAACAAAATTAAATATGTTGTAGCGACATTTTTACTTTAAGCCACTATCACAGTAAGGGTAAACAAGAACGCGTGAGTCCACTGTAAATCCTTTTCTCATCTTTATTTTAACACATCTTGTGCCATCAAATCAGTGAAATAGTTCCATTGCTCCTCAGTAGCACCCGTCACCGCACACAAACTCACAGTCTGAAAATTGTTTCCACCATGTGCTTTAGACTTTACGCCTCCAGGAACGTGGTTGAGAAATAAAAGTGAACAAAAATGTGGTCAAAAGTGATATCCAACTTTAAAATTGGTAATTGGTAACGCTTTACTTGAAGGAGTGCTCAAAAGACTGCCATGTTTAAAAAGGTCTTATGACAGTCTTACAAACACTCTTTCAAGTTACCCCTAGAACTTTCCTTGAAGGGGTTTTTCATCAGGCGGTTTGAGTTTTGATTAATGTTATTAATGCACTTTTAAAATCCAAAAGAGAACTAATTAAATGATAATGCTTCTGCTTATACTTAATACTGCTTGCATGTGTCATGTAGAATTTTTGCATAGTGAAGTAAAATATTGTGTGTAAAATAAAAATTCTTTAAATGGTAGTTTGCTGTAGTTTACTTTTTTGCTGAATATGTTTGTAAATTAACTTCCATAAGTGTTTTCATCTTTCCACTATAAAACTTTGGTTATGTAATTAAACTTGTAGGGTCATATTTTGGAAATATTGTACAAACATTTCCTTCAAATATCAATTTCGGCCTTTACTGTATATGTAAGTAATCAAACTTTTTAAAATGCAACAATAGATGTTTACAGAGGCAGCTTAAAGCATCACATGACAGTGATTAACTGTGTTCAGGCCTGTATTAAACACAGAAGGCCCACTCATATACGCTTACGAGAGAACAACAGGTTCTAGTAAGGATTTGAATCCTGGAAAGAGTTCTTGGCTTTGGTTTTACAAAAGCGTTGAGACAAATAAAAGGCACACTTTTGTAATCTCATAGTGTCAAGTCTTTCCTGAAGTCCATTGGAAAAATAATACTTCTCGATGGAACTGAATTATTGGCAGGGCATGTAGGAAAGTGGAGCCTTTTTTGTGCCATAACACGCTGTTTTCGACATGGTGGTCTGTTCATAGACTGACATGCTTCAGCAGATGTGTTGTGTGTGTGTGTGTGTGTGTTTTCGTGTGTAAGCTCAACGTTCAGTGTGACTCTGTTGCATTAACTTGTCATTATTGAGTTGATGCTGGCAAGATGCTCTGAAAATGTGGCAGCTCATATGAGGAGCCTTATCTTGTAGTGTCTGATGTAGCCACAACATAGACATTCAGTCTGCCTGCTAGTACCACTGGATTTGTGTTTCTTATTTAATTTGGAACTGGTTTTGATTTAGCCTTGATTGTTACTGATTAAATGTATGAGTGGGATCACATGAGCTCCCCTGTCTGCTCTTCCATTTGTAATCACATTAACGCCACTCCACCTTTGCATGAAGTTGAACTCTGCTCAACTTTGTTGCATCACCATTTGTTGCTCGTGTTGTCTTAAACCACCTACATTGAATATTATTTTAATTATTCAAATAAATGTTTTTTTTTTTTCAGTAAATTAGTACATCTATTAGCAAGGAGACATTAAATTGATCAAAAGTGGTAATAAAGATCAGATTAAAGAATTTCATCTGTTTCAAAATTGTTGCACAAAAGCAGCATAATATATTTCAGCCTTATTAAAAGGATTGTTTAACACAGAAAGACTGGAGAAATAGCAGTTAGCATGATGGGTTGTTTTTTTAATTCAATATAATGAGTTGATTATGTTAGTTTATTATTTTTTTATCAGATAACTATAAATGTAATGTACACTACCTGACACTTGTGAGAGCAACAAACAATAATTTGACTTTTAGTTGATCATTTGGGAAAGTGGCAGTGGGCAGATTTTTCAGATGAATCATCTTTTGAACTGCATCCCAATCATCACTAATACTGCAGAATACCTATTGGAACCTGCATGGACCCAAGATTCTTACGGTTATGAACCACTTGAGCAAAACTCTTCAGCAGGATAGCTGAAGAAAGGGCTGCTCGATTATGAGAAAAATCATAATCACGATTATTCTGGTCATAATTGTAATCACGATTATTCCAAATGAGAATTATTCCTTCTGTGAATTTTTGTTACAGTATATATAAATATTTGCCAAATTATGTTTAACAAATGATTTTTTCACAGTAATTCCTATACTATTTTTTCTTCTGGAGAAAGACTTATTTGTTTTATTTCAGCTTGAATAAAAGCATTTTTAAATATTTTGAAACCTATTTTAATAGCTCAATATTATTAGCCCCTTTAAGCAATATATATTTTTGATTGTCTGCAGAAGGAACTTCTGCTATACAATGACATGCCTAATTACACTAATTAAGCCTTTGAATATCACTTTAAGCTGAATACTATCTTGAAAAATATCTAGTAAAATATAATGTACTGTCATCATAGCAAAGATAAAAGAAATCAGATATTAGAAATGAGTTATTAAATCTGTTATGTTTAAACTGTGCTTTAAGTATCTTCACTGTAAGAAAAAACTTTTAACTACAGCAGTCCTTTAGTCAAGAGCAGAGAGGGATTTTCTCTTGTTATTTGATTAATAATAAAAACAGGCGGCAGCAGAGATATTGCGCACTGTCACTTTAAGAATAGCGCGGCTCAGATATGGTTTCTCTTTCACGTGTCTTTTGATTCTCAACTTGTTTGTTTATTACACAAATGAGGGTTAATATGAATAATCACTAAACACCGCGCTCTGACATGAACGTGCATGTTTTTGACCATTATAGTGCTCATCTTAAGATAGCGTTAGATGTGTGTGCTCTGCTCGTCTTCGAACCTGTCCAGGGCTAAGAGCGGTGCGCACACACAACACAGCATGTGCTCTTTTAAAAATATGAATGATTCAAGCATACATCAATGAATGATTTGCATCTCTCGCTACAAACGTTAAATTACAGCACATGCTTTTAGTCATTTTCAGGTGAAATTAAGCTTTGCAGAGCAACAAATGTGTACAACTGGAAAGGGGGCGGTATATGATGCAATAATCGTTTATCTCGATTAATGATTTTCATAATCGTTAGAAGCCAAAATCGAAATTGAAACCGGATTTTTGATTAACAGCCAACCCTAATAGCGCTCCTTCTCATACTTCAGCCTCCTCATCAAAGTTCCTGAAAGCAAAGATGGTCAAGGAATTCCAGGATTGACCAGCCTAGTCACCAGACATATGAACATTGTTGAGCATGTCTGGAGTAAGATGGAGGAGGCATTAAAGATGAATCCAAAATTTTTTTTAAATAAAAAAATCAAGACATGATCATATTTTACTTTGGTAAAAAAAAACGTAATCTAGAGGCTTTTGTCTTTCATATAAGCCCCTTCTATTAGAAAATGATCAACTAGAATAAAGTTATTATTTGCTGTTCCTAAAATCTAGATACGTGACAAGACTTTTGTCAGGTAGTGTGTATAATATCCTGTAGAATATGTTAAACGAACTTGCATTTCCCTGATGTGAAACATTCATTGCATTTAGCTGACAGAAATCTTGTAATGTGTTCAATTTTTTATTCAGACTTTATTTGTGACACACTCATATACATGATATGCAGTGAAATGCTTACACAATCACTTGTGACCTTAAAAATAATAACAACAACAATAATAATAATAAAAAAGAAGAAGAAGAATAAAAACGATTAGAATCTAAATTATGGAGAAATAGAAGTTATGCAATAGAAAATAAAAGCAAAAATAGAATATTTAAACACTTATATATAGAGTATGAGGCTGTAGAAAAAAAGTACAAAGTATGAAAATATAAAAGAGCTATCTGTATTTCT